CGTCAAACATTATTTGGCAGTCAAAACATACGAGAAAACAGGAAGATGAAGGCGAAAAAACAAACATATTTGTTAAAAAATTTCAAATTATTCAAATTCTAATGAACTTCCATTTATTTACATTTCCCCGTCACGGTGACGACATCATTTTCGTATCCGAAATTGGTTGATATGCATTTGACAGACCAAACAGGGTACCAAACCATGTACCAAAGCTTGCCGAAATCGCCTATTGTATTGCCAACATAATGTCATTTTGACTTTAGGCGTATTTTAGCGAGAGTTTTAACCAATGAACTATAACCAAAAACTGGAATGCTAACACATAAGGACGAACGTGAAGCCTAGTGCGGCTGCTGCGGAGGGGATACCTGTTTTTGTCGCACTCAATATGTTAAATGGTGAAAATTGCTTCCAACACGTATTCCAATTGACCTTTTGTTTGGACGCCATATTGCGGTGCGCGAACATAGTTGCCAAAAGAAGAAAACAAAAATTACTAGCGGGCTGTCAACATCAACAACGAAAGTAACTAAATGATTGATCCTCGCTATCCTTTTTTTTTTGTTTAGTTTCTCTCTCTGATTGATAAAAGTAAATAGGTAGATATTAGCCGCTTTCGGGTGCAGAGTGCGAAGCTCCTAGAACAAATTCACATCTGTCAGTGTCCTGTCATACTCCATGCGTTTTGCACTCGAACGCTTGATACCGAACGGGTCAAACTGTAGCTGGAGTACTTCGGAGTAACTCAAGAGCGCTCAAAAGGTGGCACCCGAAAGCAGCTATTCTATTATTTCTATTCTGCGCAATACAAGCTAAAATTGATGGCTTTTCTTTTCAAAAACATTCGTGATAGGCGGCAAATTTAAATTTTAAATGTAATTTATTCAGTAACTTTTATTTCAATGTTGACAGTACCCTAGTATTTATTATTTTTTTTTTCAACTTTTGGCAACCATGTTCGCGCACCGCAATATGGCGTCCAAACAAAAGGTCAATTGCAACGTGTCAATTGATGAAACCTGTGAAGGGAAATATGACAAAACTTTCGAAAACGTCATATGTCAGCGAGCAACAGAAAAAAACAACATTCCCCCTTGTGGCATCTGTCTTTCATGGCTTCATTTTTTTGGAATATATGGCAATGTGTGCGCATTCCAGTTTTTAGCTATAGTTCATTGGTTTTAACCCAGTAGTATGTTGTATTTACTTGGGATACTACATTTTAGCGATCATGGCTAACATACTATGACGTCACAACATAAAACTCGGCTGTAAGCATGTAACCACAAAACATCCCCCCTTAGAAAGGTAAGTACCGTGTTGAGAACCTGTCTATAAGTTTTCAGCGCCTCTAGTGACTGGGGGGGTCAGCTTTTGTAATTCTGGATTTATTGGCGAATGCAAAACGCAATTAGGGTTCGTTCGGTATCTTATTCGTTCCGGTGGATCGTTTGCACCATTGTTTGATTCTAGCGATTCAACACCACCACTTTAAAGTTTCTACCACTTTTTGGCATAAAATAATTGTGCCAAAAAGAAGAAACTCATAAAATCGGTAGTGTTGAAGCGCCTTCAAGGTAAAATTGACTAAGAATTAAGATGACAAATTTAGATATTTATTAAAGTTTGAAACAGAAAATATAATAGAATATGGAATTAATTACAATTATTGCGAAACAGTTTTTTTTTCATGTAAGTATACATACATAGGTAGGTAATGCTAGTTAAGTTAAAGATAATAAGGACAGTTACAAGAAGTAATGACGTACATTTAATAATAGCTTGATGAAAAACTTAAATCGTAAATAAAATGACAAAAGAGGTCCTTTTCTCACAATCCAAAATCGTTGTTAACCTAACAAGTGAGGAAAGTGTTTCTGCACGTGATGGAAGTTGCACGAATGACAACAAAAAGCAGAGTTCGGACAAGCCTTTAAGTCCAGAAAATACACTTTCCGCATGTGTTAGGTAGAAAGTTTATGTAGTTATACATAATATAAAGCTCATTCAAGAAACTGATTTCGCCTGGATGATAGAATAAATATTTTTGATAATAGTCTATACCCTTTACCACTAGCTTTAAGCAAAGACAACGCCAACAACTTCTCGTCCAATGTAAATCGTCTAGCTTTAGGCTTTTGGTTTTGAGTATGGACTTGGCTTAAAATAAAGCTGTATATCAATGGATTGACGTGGTCTACGAGCCTTTGAAATTTGGTTTATGATGCAAGTTATTCAGCAGCAGAAACTTTGGATTTAAATGACGACAACCTTCTACTGATTCTTCTTAACTTATTGCTGGATTCTATAACTCTGGAATAAAGATATTTTTCCCTTGGGGATAGGAATTTTTGCCTAGTGACGTTAATGTTCTTTAAAATTTGGCATCGTCTCTCATGACCTGCAAAAAAAAAATAGATCAAGATTGGAGACGAGCTTTTCGCACATGCTTCTAATTTTTCTAGCATTCGACTCCAAGTTTTAGTAATTAGTAGTCTTTTATAGTAGTAGTCCTACTTGAGTTAGGATGTTTCAAAATTCACCTATTCCCATCTGGGTGGTTATTCATTAAGCAATAACACTTAGGTACCTACCAATAAAAGTTTTAAGAGACAAAGTTGGTTGGTGACTTTTTCATGTTTGCAGATGTGATGGTTCCACTTGGTGTAGCAATGTCTGCCCCAATTGCAGAAGTTTCAGTAGATAAAAATTGACGACATGAAGGGCCTGGTTGATCTAAAACAGAAATTTCGTTACCAATGATTCTACCAAAAAAGTTAGGATACACACATTGTAGAATATGCTGTACCTGTATGTAACCCGGAATATTTTAATTATTGTGTCTCCTGATAAAGGAATAAACATTAAAAAAAAAAAATGAATAATATTAGCTTTGTTCCAACACAGCAGAAAACCGTACAATGTACCGTCACGATTCTGCGCAGAAACTAAAATTGTTATACTGAGTGGTTTCGAAACCGTTCATGGGACGATTTTTTGACGTGTTGGAACAGAGTTATTATGTTTACCTACCTATGTCAATCATAGTTGCGAAACTAATTTCTGAAGGCGTCTTAGGACTCTTCGACGAGTTTCAACTGTGTCGATCTCCACTTTTTGCCATTTTGGTGATTGTGGTTTATCAATTAACGACTCCTCACTGTTTTTGATAATTGGGGCTAAAATTAATTTAAATGTTTCTGACCTATGCTCCTTTAAACCCGAATTCTAACACGTTGTCGTTAATCAGAACTATGGGGAGGAGTAAGTGAAAATGTAAGTACGTCTTTCTCAAATATATCTAGTATTAACTTACCTTCAGGGAGATACAGCAAAAGCGCAGCATTCCATGTGAGTCCTCGTCTGGCTTTTGGATCGCCAACAATAAATTCTCGAGGAAAATGTCTTGTTCACACTCTATAATTATTATAAGCCTTCTCGGCACTGAGGCTATTTAGTAAAGGATTGCGAACTTTTATTAGCCATTGTTTCATTTTTTCGGCATCTTTTGGAAACCGGAAATAGCTGCTGTATTTGTCGCCGCACCCCGGAACACAGCATTTCTGATGCTTTTCAATTAACAAACTGGGAGAAGACATTTTGAGATAATAATTATTGATAATTGATAGGTAATTGATAATTCTAAATGTTGGGAGAAGTTCAAAATTTAAATTTTGACGACTGGAAATGACAAAATAAACTTCAAATCTTGGCGCACGGTCCGGCAGGAAAAAGAAAACTTTAATAGGTTGATTGAAGCGCCTCTAGTGATTGGAGGGAAAAGCTGAAACGACTAGACTGACGTCTCTCATAAGACTTACATTTCTAAGGGGGGATGTTTTGTGCATGTAACCATCCTACGAGGGATAGTTACTGGTTGTAGTATGTCAGTGCATCTTTTTCTAATACACGAAAATGAGCATATGGGCAAAACATCAGCTGATTACGCTACGATTACCGACGCAGTTCTTTCCATTATAAATAGAGGATTGTTTTTCCTCATTTTGCCGAAAGGGGGTGTGCGCCAAAAATTAAAGTTTTAGTGTAAAAAAATCTAAGAATAACTGTTCAAACCTCGTTATTCTACGATAAACCATCGCTGAGATATTCCGCTTTAAAGTGTGGACGACGCTCTCGTGACGTCACGAAAACTTCGTCCAGCCGCGCTTCGCATTGTTAATTTGATTGTTTCTGGCACGCGTGAGTGGTTTTTGTTTAGATTATTGCAGGTAACACAGGAGAAACATATGTAAATTTAATTAACTCCACTTTCTCGTGCGTCGCTTGAGCTTTCGTGACGTCATAGGGTGAGATGCGGTACCTTCATAGAGTCATATCTGCAGTATTATTTGTCATAGAGGGGTGCGGATTTCACTGTTATTCTTAGATTTTTTTTCTCTTTTTTTTGAGATGAAGTTGTTTTTTTGGCGCACACCCCCTGGTTTTTTGCAAAAAAAAAAATCTTCACTTGTGCACAAAAGTGTAATTTTATTTTTTTTTTGGCACGGGGTCTCCATACAATTCAAAAATACCACAATCTATCGAAAATCTTCACTGGAGAAATAACATTGAAACTCGAAAACGCAAAATTTTGCAAAATTCAACAAATCCAAATAAACAACGATCATGGCGTCCTCTCTTAGAACCTTTGTCAAATACACTCCAGCTGTTATTTGGGTAACTATGACGTCATGAATCGTAGTATGTGTAGTATGATGTTTACCTGTCGCTAAAATACGCCTTTTTATCTTAAAAAAAAAACAAACTTTAGGATAGTTCGGGTTCTGGCGTTGACCTCGGCGAATATGATCGTCGTATTCTCTAAATACAAGTTCAAGTGATCATGATCATGTTTCATGATCTTTTTGTTGGAATTGATCGAACAAAGACACAAAAGGTGATGTGGCGTTGCTACACATTTTCGAACACACCCCAAAGGAAATAAACTTGACAACGTTGGATTCAAGACAAATTTTTTGACATTCTGACAACAAAACGCCGTGTTGTCGACTCTTCAATCTGCAACCAATCAAAACGGGCCGACTGGCCGATTATGGTCTTGTAACCTCTCTTCTCCTCCCTTGGCCCTGTATGCGTGTCATGTTTTTGCTTGTCAAAAATGTCTCAAGCCGGTTCGAAAAAAGGGGCTGTTTCCAAATTAAATAAAAATGCAGCCATCAACAGTCTCATAGTTTTCGTAGTTTTGCTTTTGGCATGGGTCGCGGGCTTTGCATCCCGGCTATTTGCCGTCATCAGGTTCGAAAGTATCATCCACGAATTCGATCCTTGGTAAGCTACTTTTCTTATATCTTAACACTATTTAAGATCTTATTTTGTTTTATTCAATCATTTTAGAACCCCGTCCAAAGTTTGCTGCCTTCAGCACTCAGCTTGCAAGCTATTTTTACATTAAGCACTCCTTCAATTATCTTATTTGATACTTCAGTTTTTTACTATTGCCTTTGTACCTTCTATACCATCTAAACATTGAACTAATATCGCAGTCCGAAAGAAGGTACACCAATAATAACATTAAACTTTTTAGGTTCAACTACAGAGCAACAGCTTATATGGTAAAACATGGATTTTATAATTTCCTAAACTGGTTTGATGAGAGGGCATGGTACCCTCTAGGACGTATTGTGGGAGGCACTGTGTATCCAGGGCTTATGCTCACATCAGGAAGCATACACTGGATATTACATTTGCTGCATATTAATGTACATATTAGGGATATTTGTGTATTTTTAGCTCCTATTTTTAGGTAAGTTTTTTTTTTTTTTGAAACAACTTTATTAACAATTCGAAATATAACAATTTTTGAATATTTTTTTTTGCATCTCAAATCAGTGCTTAAATAGCTCTGGCCTCGAGATTTAAATAACTTATATTAACAGTGTTATGTTGTCTAAGTGGTGATAGTTGATACTAACGTATAATATACTTTTGATTTTTTGATTTAACATACATTTTTTTTATAGCTTTTTTTTTAATAAATATTAAGGTAACTTTTACATTTTCTAACAAAGAGTGGATAAGAATTAGCAAACCTTATGTCATCTCCCAATTTATTAAAACATTTGGAGGCAAGTTGGACAGGATTATTTAAACCTATGTTAGTTCTGCTCTGTGTCAGATATAAACTTGACTGCGACCTTGTATCATGATTATGAATTATGCTTATGGATTGAAAATTTGTATTTGATTTTTGTAGGTTATTAAGTATTTTATATACAAGTTTGCACTGCTCAAGTTCCAATATTTTTTCTAATTTAGGTACATTCAATTCTTGATATAAATCATTCGTAGGTGTAAGATACTCATAATTAAATAAAATTTTTAGGAATTTATTTTGCATAATTTGCATTTCACTGAAGCTGGTTTTCCCACAGGTTCCCCAAATGGGTAATAGATATCTCAGGTGTGACAAGAAAAATGCAGTATATATTTGTTTTTTTGTTTTTTGAGAAATATAACTTCTACATTTATAAATTATAGGTATCATAGGATTCACTTTATTTAATATTTTTTTAATATGTAATTGCCAATGTAGATGTTCGTCTACAATTAAACCTAAATATTTGAGAGATGATACTTTTTCTAGTTTAATATTATTAATTTTCAAATCAATATCACTTACTACTTTATTTTTTTGTGTGAGAATTATAAAATTAGTTTTATCGATGTTTACTTTTAATTTGTTAGAGTACAGCCACCTGAGATATTTATCTAGATCCTCATTAATTAGAATTTCCAATTCTTTTTCATTTTCACCTGTATACACTAATAATGTATCATCGGCAAATGTATAATACTGGGCCTTGAGGCCAGCAATTTGCAAACTTAGAACATATAATGAATAAAGCAGGGGCCCAAGGACGGAACCCTGTGGCACCCCATAATTGTTTTGTAGTGTCTCGCTACAACATTCACCCAATTTGACATACTGGCTTCGACTCTTGATGTAAGATTCCAGAATATTATAAAATTTACCCCCAAAGCCCATATAATGTAGTTTTTTCAAAAGAGTATCTATGCCGACTGTATCAAATGCCTTACGCAAATCGATGGAAACCACAACTACAATTTTTTTTTGGTCCATGGCTTTGGTCGAGAAATTTACAAAATCGAAGGTCGCAGACAACGTACTACTTTTCTGTATAAAACCATACTGGAACTGATCACTCAAAAAATTATTTTCTATGAATTGTGTCATTCTTTTTTTAATTACCTTCTCAAGAATTTTGGAGAGAACGCTAACGACAGAGATCGGTCTGTAGTTATTCATTAACTTTTTATCACCGCTCTTGAAGATGGGACACACTTTACTCGTTTTAAGCTCTCTTGGAAAAATTCCAGTAGTTAATGCCTGATTCACTAACGTTACAATGGGTTGAACTATAAAATCTTTAAGGTTAAGCAAATCCATAACCGATACCTCATCGTTACCAGGTGCCGAGTTTTTTTTCAGTTCCAATATAATTTCATTTATTTCCTCTCTATTTGTTAAATCTACATTAGAGATCACGATATCACAGTAAATTTCATCAAAAGTTGCATTTATACCCAACCTATTTATATCCCTACATACATCCTTAACTATAGATTCCCCTACTTCCACAAAATATTGATTTAAATAATTTACAATGTCCTTTTTTTCATAAATAATTCTACCATTCATATCTATACATTCAATATCAGTGGCTTCTGTTTGTTTACCAAAAAAATTGTTGATAAACTGCCACTGCTTTTTGGTATCAGTACCTGATAATTCCCATTTTTTCCGAAAGTATAAATTTTTTGCAGATTTTATTAGATTATTGACCCGATTTTTATACTGTTTAAATTCAGCATCGAACCGAGGAACTTGTGGGTGTCTAATTTTTCTTTTGTACGCTTGATCCCGTAATTTAATCATGTCCAATATATTTTGATTAATCCATTCATTCCCCTTTTTAATTTTTAAAGTTTTAGATGTTATACAATTGTTCTTTGTCTCATTAACTAGAGTTATAAGTTTTTGAAACGTATCTATCTTTTTGTCTTTGATTTTATTACTGAATTGGTGAACAAATTGTTTATAATTAATTGCTTTTATATTGAATAATACTTTTGGTTTGAATTCCTTAACATTCCTCTGCTTGATACTGAATAATATGCGATTGTGATCCGAAAGTGGGTTATCTTCAATACTCAAAGATTCAACCACATTAGAATTTATGTCATTCAAGACATGATCAATTATGCTAATATTATTAATTGTTTCTCTTGTTGGATGATTTTCTGATATGACATTACAAATCTTAAACCCAAGCAAGCTTAGATGATTTTTATAATCTGTTGTTAGTTTACAACTCTGCAATAAATTGATATTGATATCTCCCACAATGATATGTTTTTTTGGATATTTCAACATAATATTTTCAATATCGCTAAAGAATGTTACATTACTACAGGAAGGCGGTTTATATATTGCACTTACTTTTAGATTTTGTTCACCTATGTTAACACATACCCAGTCTATGACTTGCCTATCTGATGATCTATCTATTTCTCTCACTTTGATATGAGATTTTACATAGATTGATACTCCGCCGCCTCTTCCATCTCTACACTTGTGTATAGCTGCATAATTTTCAATGCTGTACAAATGGCATTCTTCGTTGTTTAACCAAGTTTCGACTAATATTAGGACATCACAAGCGTTACTTATCACAAAACATTCCAGATTATGAATTTTATTCCTTACACTCTGAATATTCATATAGACAACTTTTATAGAATTTTTACGAGGCCATATCTCCTATTGATCTTGCAGGATATCTTCACTATCCACTAGAATTACCTTCGAATTTTCATTCTTCCGTAAAAAAATATTTCCATTGTCAATCCAGAGAAATTTAAAATTGTTTTCTTTCTTAAATGTTCTGGCTGCTGTATGCAACTTTATATTGTCTTTTGTTAGTTCGTGGTTGAGATATATTTTGGTGTTATCTTGAAAACCTAAGTTGCTACTTTCTATTTGAAGTCTCTTTTTTGATTTAATCATCTGTTTTTTGTCGTTGCCATCTTCAAATTCTATTTTTATTGGGCTGCTGTTCTTCTTCCCCAATCGATAGGCAGTGAAGCTTTTCTTTATTGGGGCACCCAAATATTGTCCCATTTGTTTAACGATATCCTGCAAATTTTCGTCTTCTTCAATTGGTATACCCTGAACCAATAAATTGTTCACTAGCTTGCTTTGCTCAGACTTGTTAAGCTGTTTTTTGACTTCTTTCAGTTCTTTTTGGACAATATCATTAATTTTCATTTGTTCTTCATACTTCCTTAGCAAACTCGCATATTTTTCTTCCATACTTTCTAACTTATCCATAATATCCTCCAGAGTAACATTTTTTTTTGTGCTTCCCCTTTTCTTTGTTATGCATGCATCACATGTCCACGGCGCCGGATCCTTGCTGACTCGTTGGTATGTTTTTTTTGGCATGGAAATACATTCCCTGTGCTTCCAGCCAAAGCATGTCTCGCACAATAAGGCGTAGTACCTACATAATCAATATATTTTTGAAAGATATTTTGATAAGGATCTAATACCGAGGCATAGAAAACAAAGAAAAAAAAAATACCTATTTACTCTTTAATAGATTAGTAGTGAAAATTGATTGGAGGAATTTGGTCACAAAATAATTAGAATGAAATACTTATGTATATCCTTAGGTATATCCTATTCACAATCCGATGTCCACAGGTACAGGTAAATTTATCACCTTTCCCTATCAAATAGCATTGAAAGGTGATAAATTTTACCTGTACCTGTGGACATCGGATTGTGAATGGATAATATAGGTAGCTAAACAAAACAATGACATTTTTATTTTTCAAGCGTTTCCTACTTCATGCCTAGTGCTAGTGCATGTTATTATTGTAAACCATGAATTTTCCAAGATATTTTCATGTATTGGATCTGGAGATTTTGCCAACAAAACATAGTATACCTCGCCTCGTAGTATACATAATATGAATAAACTCAATCCATGTGTGTTCTAATTTTCTCTGTAGTTTTCACAACAAATTAAAAATTCAACAACCAGAATAGAAAACCTTTTCTGATTGATCTATATTTACTGGATTTTTCAATGCAAAATCTTGTCTTTACTAGAGTGGCTAGATTTAAAGATCTTTTATTATTAGAAATCCCATCTAAATTTCTAATCAAATATTCTAATCTCATCTGCAACATGGTATTAAAAATAAATACACATGTGTGTCCTTTTTAATACATTGTTGCAGTTGAGATTACAGATTTTGATTAATTACTTAGTTAATTTAGATTTTGTTTTATTGCCGAATACATTGGAATAAATAGAATATTCTTATATGAGTTTATGTGATGTACCATCGTCACCAAAAGTATCTGGGACACAAATAATGCATAATAATCTCCTGGACTAATTCTACTGTCATTCATTCCAATGCATTTAATTCATAGTTTGACAAATATTTGACAATAAAATTCATATAATAGGACAAGAGCTAATGTGATGCTGTCCCAGTTACTTTTGGTGACGATGGCACCTAAATAAGTTTTACCAATAATTTGGTATTTGAACGTTTTTTAATCTTTTTGTTTGGATACCTATGCAATCATCAAAAGTGAACAAATACTAGATAAATCTTATGTTTTATCTAATCTTAAAAACACTTCACTGAATACCTACATATTGGAAATGTGAGCTTTAATGGTCTATTGCCATGACGTGTCTCAAAAAAGATTTGGTTTGGAGTAATTATTATCAAATATCTGAGGATGGGTGGAAATAATGTAACGCTGTCGTCTTAGACAGGTAGTAAAAAGACACAATTTCAAATTCAAATCTCTATTTCCAAGTGCAATCATACACAGTAGCTTACTAAGGTTGTATAGAAAAAACAACTTATAACTATTAAACTATTACATAACATAAGAGAGTTGTCCATAAAAATATAGAATACAGAAATTATCTCGGAAATTTTATAATAAAATATAAGTCAAGCCAAAGTACAACCATGAAATAAAAAGACAAAAAGAATCCAAAAAAACAAAAAGAAAATGTTAACAAGTCTTAGATTTGACAACCAACGACAGTGTTGAAATGATTCTTCAAAAAATTCGCCAATACTGTAAATGTAAATATAAAATTATGGGCACGCAGCAGTTTTTTGAGTTTTTTCTTGAATATCTTCCCATTTGGGCTCTCTTTCACCTTACGAGGCAAATTATTGAGGGTTCTATGGGCATAAAGATATATGCCCATATAACTGCGGCTTTTCCTATTCACTTCTAGCGGTAAATTTTGGGCTGATGATTTTTCCTTGTGGAGTAGCTGTGGACATTAGAGTGTGCTACTAGTGTGTCTCTTTCACTGAATGTCAACATTGAGTCTTGTTGAGGTGAAAATGTTCTAATTTTTGAAGTATGTATGTATTATCTGTAAGACCGCATTCTTCAAATTATTAAAATTTGAAAAAAAAAACCTAGATAATAAAATAGAAATGTTTTAACGAAAATTAAGAAAAATGTCGTTGTGTATTACATCTTTGGATTCACTGTAAAATACTGCATTTAGCAAAGTGATATGTTTCTATTCCAGTTTTTGAGCTAATACTAAGATAATGCAAGTTTACAGCCCTCTATCCTTTCAAACAAGTTTACAAAGATAAAATTGAGTTTGTATTTTTCTGAAATTAAGTAAAGTATGTAGAGTTATTTTGGGATTATCATGGCACTCTGGTTAAAAAATTAAAATTTAATTTAAAAACAAAATTTGGAAAACTGGATGCAAAAATGGGAGTCAAAGTTAATGGTGTGTGGATTAACAATATCCGCTATGCTGACAATACTGTCTTAATTGCTGATACCATACACGACCTACAACAACTAGTCAACAAGGTAAGAGAACAGAGCAAATCAATGGGTTTGAATATCAACAAAAAACAAAGTTTATGATTATCTCATTCTCTAGAAATCCAAATATGTTTGAAAACTCCACCATAACATTTAACGCAAGACCCATATAGAGAGTAGATAAATTTAAGTACTTGGGCGTCTGGCTTTTCGAAGACTGGACATCAGACAAGGAAATAAAATGTCACATTGAACAAGTTCGACAGGCGTTCTTGTTCTGAAGAGTGTTTACCTGTTCCGATTTTGACCTTAACCTAAGACTCAGATTCATTAAATGCTACGTTTGGTCAGTGCTTCTTTACGTTATGGAAGGTGGACATTAAAGGTGACTGCAATTATTAAATTAGAGGCTTTCGAAATGTGGCTGTATTGCAGAATCCTTAAGATACCTTGGACGGCTAGACTAACAAACGAAGAAGTCCTGAGATGTGTCAACAAACAACATAAACTGTTTGAATTGGTTAAAAAGAGAAAAACAGCATATCTGAGACATATAATGTGAAACACGAAATACCAATTCTTGCACCTATTGATCAAAGGCCGGAGAGGCATTGGAAGAAAGAAAATGTCTTGGCTGCGAAGTAGACATCAGACAGGGCTTCATGATGTGCAGTTGTTAATACACACCGCAAGGAATAGAGAAGCAATAGAAGATGTTATCGCAAATATCCATTAGTGGATTCGCATTGGAAGAAGAAGAAAAGTGGTGCATTAGGACGTAAAACGATCTGTAGAATCCAAAAAACAAAAAATATACAGGTGTGCCATTTAAAAATCAAAAGTTCCGGTCATTTCCGGTGAAACCGGAAGTTAGGAAAACTTGTCATAGATGCATAAAATTAGCGTTTGGTTAGAATATCAACCCTACCAAGTTTCGTTGATTTCGATAAACAAATGGAATAATGGCAGCCAGAACGTAATCTTGTGGGCACCTGGTATGTACAGGGTTATTGGTTATAAATGTCACCCTCCTTTATCTTTTTTATTTGACATTTTAGAAAAAAGTGTCCCAATTAAAAGTTTTATGGTTGAAATTGAATTTTTTGAAAAACTAACTTTCGCATATAAGGTACCTGTCCCAAATAAGGCCATGTTAAGAGGTTTTATTTTTTCCGAACACTATCCACCAAACCCAACAAGAATCACGAGCTTATATGTGAAGTGTTTCGCTTCTATTACTTGAATATTAACTCCAATTTATTTATTTTTACATATAAGTGGTGGTTTTTGCGTAAAACAAAGACCCTTACCATTGGCCTTATTCGGATCACTATGCTCCTAATAAGGCCAACAATAAAAAATGTTTAAAATAAATAGAATCATTCATAAAAATATTATTTTTCGACATAAAGTTCTTAAAATAGAACTTTGACGTTTGCTGCATTCTAAAAAAAAAATAATTTTAAGTCCAGGGATGGTAATCCGAATAGGTCTATACAACTAGGACAAATGAACCGCAGCTTTTCTTGCTTGGTTAGACTTCAGGCGCTCTAGAACACATCACTTAAGCAATAATATGACACATTCTTTTAAAAAAACACTGTGATGTGAGGCCAATTGAAAATTTTTCATGTGCCCTTATTAGGAACATGTTACATTGATAAAAAAATTCTGTAACTAGAAAGCTAGCAAAGATATTATTCTGTACTTACTCTGTAGCTTTCTCAATACATAAATGTCCGCGTAAAAATTACATTCGCTCCATTCCCTTTATGAACATGTGTATAAACTAATTAAGTTCCAGCCTCAAAGTTATAACGTGACATATGAAATCTGTGGTTAGCCATTTTTCGACATATAACGAGTTGCTAGGAATCCTCGCAATAATTTTTGATTTGCATTATAGATATCTTTTTCAATAATATTTCAATTTTTGAATATGCGATTCAATATTAAGCAATAAGGGGCATTGGCCTTATTAGGTACATGGCCTTATTTGGGTCAGGTACCTTATAGGGTATTTCAGAAAAGCTGATCGTGCTCCAAATTTCCTATTTCAAATAGAATACTCTGTATATTATTGGATATTCGGATTCTCCGTAAAATTCTGAGCAGATTTCATGTGATGTACCCTATACATAAGTTCAACTGTTTTGGAAATATTGACAGTTTAAAATTGACTTTTTTGCAACTTTGACAGGCTGTAAATCCTAAACGGTTAATTTTAGAGCAAAACCGATCTTACATTTTCATCTTGGATTTTTATAAGCTATCAGTTGACACCAATATTTGACATAAACTTTGAATTTAATTCATGATTGAAAATTCCGATTAAATTTAATCTTCGGTTAAATTCAAAGTTGGTGTCAAATGATAACTTGTGAAAATCTTTAAAAAAAATGTAAGATCTGTTTTGCTCAAAAGTTAACCGTTTAGGTTTTACAGCCTGTCAAATTTACAAAAAAGTCAATTTTCAACTGTCAGTATTTCCAAAACAGTTGAACTTAGGTATAGGGTATATCATATGAAATCTGCTCAGAATTTGACGTAGAATCCGAATATTAAATAATATACAGGGTATTCAATTTAAAATAAGAAAGTTGGAGCTCTACCAGCTTTTTTGAAACACCCTGTATATGCAAAAGTGAGTTTTTCGAAAAATTTAATTTCAACCAATTCAAACCAAAAAACAGAATACACTACTTGTAGCAACAAAAGAAGACTCCATTGACAGCAATAGATATTTTACATGTAAATATACAGGGTATTACATTGCATATAACAAAGTTAAGTTATTTTATGCAGCAAAGAAATCCATGGATTATATGTGCGTTTTTGAAACACATTTCACCATTGAAATATTGAAATTGAAGATCGTGAAGTGGAAGTCCCAGGTTACTTGACAGTATTTTGCCATTCCAACAGTAGGCATTAGGCATTCAGGCGGAATTATTATATATGTAAAGAATTGTTTAAACTATGAAGTTGTTTTAAATGAAGCTGTCGAAAATCAATATTGGATGCTGGCTGTTAAATTTCGAGTAAAGAACGAGACTTTTTTTGTTGCCTCATGTTACCGCTCTCCTAACTCAAGATATAGCCTTTTTCTTGAATATTTGGAAGAAAAGCTCACCGAGAACATTTTTCAATAGAATAGAACTTATATCTTAGGTGACGGTAATGTCGATTTTTTAAAAAATAGCAGATACACGATAAAACTGAAAAAGATAATACATGGTACAGGATTCAAACAGGTAGTTTCTAAAGAAACTCGAATAACAGACAGATCTTCCACTTTATTAGATTACATAATTACCAATGATTTTAGAGCACAGGAAACACCATGAAGCTTTCCAGCAATTATCGACCATGAAATGATTGGCTCACAAATACAGGTCCAAGGTACTGCTCGGGATAAGCCACAATGTTCATTTTAAAACTTACCATCCCTATTATCTTGGATTTGAAAAAAAATTCGAAAAAATCCCTGAAATATGTCAACTATTATTTGAGGGGGATGAGTTTCTATGCAAAATTCACCTCCCCCTTTTCAACCCTCCCAGCCCCCAGAGCCACCCCTAGAAAATCTTGTATTATTAGTATAGGCAAAGTATAGGGTTTTGTTGAACTCAGAACTACATAATATTAATTTTGTGACCATAAAGCATTGTGATTTTTTTTATTCTAGTGGTCTAACTGCCATCTCAACTTACCTCCTTACAAGAGAATTATGGTCTTCAGGAGCCGGCCTATTTGCCGCCTGTTTTATAGCCATTGTACCAGGTTACATAAGCAGATCCGTTGCAGGATCATATGATAATGAAGGAATTGCCATATTTGCTCTACAATTCACGTACTTTTTGTGGATTAAATCTGTGAAAACTGGCTCCGTATTTTGGGCTGTGTCTGCTGCAGTATCGTACTTTTACATGGTGAGATTCAAAGATTTTGTTAGTTTTTATTATGTATTTTGTTTTTAAAGGTTTCAGCATGGGGAGGTTACGTTTTTATCATCAACCTAATACCACTCCACGTGTTTGTCCTTTTATTGATGGGACGATACTCAAACAGGCTATTTACAAGCTACACCACATTTTATATTCTTGGCCTTATTATGTCCATGCAAATTCCATTTGTAGGATTCCAGCCTATCAGGACTAGTGAACACATGGCTGCTGCTGGTAAGGTCTATAACAGAATTGACCATTTTCTTATATCAAAAATTCAATTTTAAGGTGTGTTTGCATTACTTTTTGCCGTTGCTGTTTTGAAATATTTACAATCAATGATGTCAAAGTCCGAATTTAAATCCTTGGTCATTTGGGGTGGACTTGTATCTGCTGGTTTGGTGTTTGCTACCGTTGTTGGACTTACTTATGCTGGTTATATTGCTCCTTGGAGTGGAAGGTAATATTTTTATAAACCTAAATTATTTTTAAAATATAAAGTTTGGTGAATTTTGGAAGGTTTTACTCTCTATGGGACACTGGCTATGCAAAAATCCACATTCCAATCATTGCATCTGTCTCTGAACATCAACCCACAACGTGGTTCTCATTTTTCTTTGACTTACATGTTTTGATTCCTACATTCCCTGCTGGTTTATGGTACTGCATTAAACATGTCAATGATGAACGAGTTTTTGGTAAGTATATTCTTCAAGTATTCTGAAACGAACCTTTATTATAATTTTATTTTTTATTTTTTATTTTTTAGTTATTCTTTATGCCTTAAGTGCAGTCTATTTTGCTGGTGTAATGGTGCGTCTTATGTTGACGCTCACTCCAGTCGTATGCATGTTGAGTGGAGTTGCATTTTCTGTGATTCTAGAAATGTATTTGAGAGAAGAAGATAGTACGCCTGCAATAGAAAATGAAGAGGAAGAAAGCTCGCAAAATCCGAAGAGGCTGTATGACAAAGTATGTTCATTTCATATGTCACTTTTACCATTGTTTCATTGCATTTGTAAACCTGGGTACTGTGGTGTACGGAAAGAAAATTGTGAATTTCTATTTTGCTTATATTTTCAATTTCTATCATTAAAATCTCAGAGTGCCAAGTCTTGAAATAAATATATTTTATGAAAGAGGGGTTTTGTTGGCTAAGGAAAACCGGAAACTATTTTCTCCTATGTTGACTTCTTTTTATACAAGTGATTTTTTAAAATTATATCTGTTTAGGCTGGTAAAGTACCAAAAATAATCAAACACGAATCCAAAGAACAAGACGCCATAGGACAAAACATCCGAAGCATAGCTGCAGTAGTTTTTGTTCTTCTGTTGATGCTATTCGCTGTGCATTGTACCTGGGTCACTAGTAACGCCTATTCGAGCCCTAGCATTGTGCTAGCTAGCTACGGCAGTGATGGTACCAGACAAATTTTAGACGATTTCAGAGAAGCGTATTTCTGGTTGTCACAGAACACTGCTGACGATGCACGTGTTATGAGTTGGTGGGATTATGGTTACCAAATAGCGGGAATGGCAAATAGGACTACATTAGTGGATAATAATACATGGAATAATAGTCATATCGCCTTGGTTGGCAAAGCAATGTCTTCAAATGAGAGTGCTGCCTATGAAATAATGACTGCTCTAGATGTGGATTATGTTTTGGTGATTTTCGGTGGTGTTATTGGCTATTCTGGGGATGACATCAATAAATTTTTGTGGATGGTTAGGATTGCGGAAGGGGAACATCCTAAGGATATTAGGGTAAGGTTTTGTTGTTAGTTTTTTGCGTAGCTGAACGGTTATTTACTTTTATTTCAGGAAAGTGATTATTTCACTGAGCAAGGTGAATTCCGTGTTGATGCTGAAGGATCCCCCACCCTTTTGAACTGTTTGATGTACAAATTGAGTTACTACAGATTTGGGGATTTGAGGTGAGAATCAGTATTAGAATGGAGGTATTTTTTGGTGCACTAGCCAAATTCCCCATGGATCTTCTAGGTATTGGAATGTCCCTAGAAATATATGTTTAATATCAAATAAGTATAAGCTGCTGTAGTATGTTTCTAATATGCTTCACCCTTTTTTTTTTGTTAACATTACTTATTAGCTCTCGATTTGTACAATTTGAGTCATAATGGACATTCAACTGTGTTATTCAGCGATTTGTAAATCATTTGGCACGCATCCTTTTCTAAATTATTTTTTACAAACTAAATTTTGAATAGAGAGCAATAGCCCATACAATACACTATATCCAAACTCTCAAAATTTCTCCTAGCTTTCTAGAAGATATACATAAATTACTTTTTATTCTTAGATTGGACTACCGTTCACCATCAGGTTTTGACCGTACCAGAAACGCTGTTATAGGAAACAAAGATATAAACTTGACATATTTAGAAGAAGCGTACACTAGCGAACATTGGCTAGTAAGGATATACAGGTATTAATTTTGCTAGAAGTTGTAAGCCAATTTGTTTCAAACAAAACATTTGTTTCAGGGTTAAAAAACCAGATGAGTTTAACAGACCAAGAATACCAGTGGCCAATAGGGTAATAAAATCGTCTAGCTTTGTATCAAAAAAGGTAGGTGACTCAATTTAAAATTTCGTTTTGAAAACTAATTTTTTTCAATATTGAAAAGGAACTTTTATTTATTTGTTATAGGATAAATTGGGTATTTCTGACATTTTTTTATTAATAGAAATTCATGGAACTTTTCTTAATGAAAAAATTATACTACATGAATTCATATTGTGAGATTAAGTCCAATGTAAATCAAATATATTATTATCCCATAGCTACGTAAATCCATTAAGACAATACTGTGCAAAAAGTAACAAAATTTAAATCGCAACTGGTTGCGGAAAGTGAGATGTTTCAAAACTTCATCAGTTTCGAAATGTATCACTTTGATACTTGTCGAAATTTGAAAAACATCACTTCTCCATTTTAGAGTACCAAACGTAAGAAGGGAACCATAAAGAACAAGCCCGTGATAGTTAAAGGGAAACGGCCTGCCGTTAAGCTGCAATAAATCCCAATGAGCGAGGAGAGATAGTACAATACTACATTTTTTTGTTGATGTTTTGTTTTATATAATTTAAAAAAGGGAAAATTCTATCACATTCCACAATTCTTTTAACTAGAAATCAGATTTTTCTGATTAATTGATAATATTAATCATGTCATGACAAACTTAGTTCACATTAATTTTCCTGTAGTTAATACATTTGTTGAGATGTGATAAAATGAGTTCTTTTTTTTTTTAATTAAAATGTACTGATTTTCATTATAATAATATTATGTACTATAAGAAAAATTGCTTTACTTTTGATGGCGTCAAGAGAAAATCATTGCGTTTTATGTATATTTATACCAAAAAAAAAAAAAATACACTTTACCAATCGTACATAGTTAAATTTAGTTCTAGATTATTTTAAAATGCTTGAAGTCTTTTCTTTTCTTGTTCACTCACGCATTTAGTAACATTTTGTTCCTAATTATAGCTCGCTGTTAAAATTTGCATTTCAGATATCCATAAATATTTCAGTTTATGCCGAGATTTATGCTCATTTAAAGAACAAATTTGGGGTGTTGTATTTTTGCTTAGACTAATTTAATTTTTTCTCAAAAGTGAAGTGATGAACGTCCATGTTGTAAATTTAAGTTTGTCAGAGTCGGAAATGGTTTTTTAGTGAAACGTCACTATGTGATAGTTTTAAATGTGGAGAATTAAAGATTTTTGCACTGGTTCAAATTTTTCTTATTGCCTTATTCTTCCTTCGGCTCGGTTTTATTTATCTGCAGATAAACTTACTGTCAATTTTCTACAGATAAATTTAGATACCAATCCTATTGGTCAGTGGCCGACCAGTAGGATTACATTGCCTTTTTATGAGTCAGGTCAAATTGCTTCACCTGGCAAGTGGCAGTTTGCAATTTTCAGTTTCGTGTTTCGTGCCAGGCAACCAAACTACTTTAAACTTTTAAATTATGGATATTCAAGTTGTATCCGAGTCAAGCTCAACAAAATAGTAGAAAAAGATTTGGGAAGGCAAAACAACCTTGGATCCAAGAATCGTAAATAACCAGGGCTGCGTTCAGGAATGGCTACAGCCAAGCCAAAATTGGCATTTTGCGTTCGAGTTCGGCTCCAACCTACGTGGTTCGGCATTACAGGTGGAGGGGGAAAAGTAGGTTTTGGCATTAGCATTGCCGTCCTTGAACGCACCCCAGGATTACTCATCCTCCTAAGGCGTACGTTCGCCAATTCTCGAGTCAGCAGGGCCTGCGAGTGACGTCACCACTATTAGCATCAGAAGCTTATAGTGGTGACGTCACTCGCAGGTCTCGATGGGATGCTTGCGATCTGGTTGTGATTGTTTTTTCGACGATTTTAAATGTAGAAAAGGCGATTTTAACATTCAGGAATTCGTTTTTTTAACATACGGCAGATAACTTTCAGCTCAATAAGCAGTCCTTTTATTAGGGCTGTGTCCTTTTTTTAACTGGCGGTACTTAGTGATTGCTGCTGTACGATTATAACAGAATTGTCGTTTCTTTTTAACCAGCATGCTGTATTAACGGTTGATTTTGGAACGGATTTCGTCACTACTGATTGACAAAACTAACTTAAATACTTCTTGTCATAGGGCAAGGGTATTCCTAACATTGGTTCCTAAAGTTTTAAGGTTGTCTGGTAATGGGTAACTTGATGACGCATCTGGGGTGCATTAAAGAGATTTGCATGATGTTGAGGCACCCCAGATGACGTCATAAAATTTTATCAGCAGCCTACCTCTTTCAAACAACCTTGGTTATAAGGCAAGGTTCCTAAAGGTAATGTAGATTGCCAGGTAAGGGGTAACTTGATGATGCATCTTGGGTGCAATGGAGATTTGCATTATGATGAGGACCCCAGATGACGTCATGGGCTGAGTTTGGCTTTGCACTCCACGGAGCGGAACGGTTTGAGCATGGATATCGTGAATTCATATGCGGTCATAAGCTCAACGCAAAAAAGAACACTCTGAAAGCAAAAACGAACAGGATCTTATCGTTTCGAGCAGGCTCAGAGTCTACAGAGTGTGAAGCCGAACTCAGCCACACAGTTATAAAGCAACCTACCTCTCTCAAACAACCTTGGGTTATAGGAGCTGTTCACGGAAACTATGATCGGGTTAACCCGATCGCAAGGATCATCAATCTCAACGTACGGAAAGGGATCTAGGATCGGTTCACTCTTGTACGGAAAGAGATCCAGGTGGTTCGGATCATATGTTTGGATCTCATGGACCCGATAAAATGAGACAACATGTATTTAGCCGACCAAATGTTTTTTTTTTTTTATTATTCGCCAAATGCAATCGTTTTGTAGCAAAACGCCCCAAGTACTCTATGTAATTAGATGGTAAATGGCGAGCGGTATATTGATGGTGTTTATTTACTTGGAGCTGCTACCTAAAATCTGTGGAAGGGTCTATTTGCAAGAGAGAGAAACAAACTATTGAGGTGTACTAAATTTATATGTTATTATACATAAAACCCAAAAATTTAAATCAGCAAAATATCTTCCAATTCTGACAGCCTCATCTATTTCTATAAATTCAATTACTTCACATCCGTTCTAAAATTGTTATTATTACGGACCACTGAAATATCCCTACTAAATGAGAAACGCCCTATTCCTACTATTCCTAATAACTTATAAGTTAACTCATTTCAACACTTCCGATTCATTCCTATTAACTACCCTTCTCCTATTTATATAAATTCTTTAAAATTTCTAAGTCCTTTACTGACTGCTTATGAAAACCCAAAATAATTACCCATTTGTTTATCAATATAGGTATTACTAACTTATTCTTATAAAACCTTACAATAATTTCTACTTGAAAAATAAAAATCCTAATTTAAAATTCATTTCATGAACAACAACTTTCCAATATTTTAAGACAATTCTATTTCATGAACATCAAATTTCTTTTCGAAAATTCCTATTCCATTTAATAGTTTATTTAATCAGAACAAATTCTATTATAAGTTTCCTTTAACAACTTTCCATTATTTTAAGACAATTTCTATTTCATGTACATCAGTTTTCCTTTCAAAATTTCCTATTCCATTTGATAGTTTATTTAATCAGAACAAATTCTATTTTCGGATTCCTATGCCTAGCTAATAAATTCAACTGTTTAATTCATAATTCCAACTCAAAATTGTATATTGTTAAATGCATTATAAGTTCCCTTCATATTTTCTTTGCACAATTAAATTAGAATGTCATTCTATCTGAAGGCAATTAAAGTTATGCACTAATGTTCCATTTTCAAAACACTGAAAACACTCGAGTTATTGATATTTATGCAATAAAGTTAATTATAAAGTCAAAAGTTTTACTAGGAAAATCACTCAAGTTTTTAGGCATTGAAAGTCATTTGCTTATTCACTTCTTATCATTCAGAATCATTGATAAAAGTCAGAAAATTATTAAACACTAAAGTACTTACATTTAATTTTTGCACACGTAAAATTACTTAATTAATTACTCAAAATTGTTTGCTAGCACGCACATAAGTGTTGACGAATTTAATTGTTCTTTCTTTCAAAATTTTTCCGCTACTTTTTCAAAGACTGGTACCGAGGCAATACAAGAAACTTTCCAGACTGACACTTTAGGTACTGTGGATTTTAACTCAAGCTGGACAGGACTGCGAACTCATCTCTCAACTGACAACTAACTAGCAACTGCGTTCCACTTCTAAAACCGTGGTATTTATATTTTTTGATTCCCCTCCGAAATTCTGTGTCCATGACAATCAAAATGATGCAATTTCCTTGAAATTTTTGTCATTTTATTAGTTTAAATCGAACAATTATGTCGCAATATCCTGATTTATCGGGGTCAAATACATCTTGGTTCAAGAATGCCATAAATCATTCGATTTAATTACCCTGGCCTCATTTTTATTATTTTTAAGAATTTAATTTAGATGATGACAGGCTGGGTGTCGAATAACGTTAGCGTTAATTTGTTTCATTTTTAATTTATCGATACGGATTTGAGATATCGGAAATTCAGTTTTTGATTGTTTGATTAAATTTAATTTTTACAGTAAAGACATTGTAATTATCGGGACTATTTTTCCCGGATCATTACAGTTTGTTGGTCCTTTGGTGGTCTTTGGGTATCTCACTTTTATCAATTTTATCATTTGGTGGTAATTACTTTGGCAGTAATTAACAATTCAAAATTTCATATGACGTTGGCCGCGGCCGACATACCTATTTATAATTGGACAATTTATAGTCGAATTTAACGGAAATCGTTTGGTGGTCACCAGTTTATCAAATTTTACGCTTGGTGGTCAATTATACCGGAGATATCAACTAATTAGGATTTACATTATACGATAATTCGTCGCGCATGCGCAGATATATAATAGTACGCGTCATATGTATATGTATATAATAGGACGCGTCATGCGTCATCTCGCAATCTCCGCTTATACTTATACTTAGAATAGGTATTAAATAATATGCATAAAGCAAAAATCAGCGCCCCTATGGTGCAAGCATCCCAAGGATGATTCACACTACTGGTACAGAGGATGGCCTATCCTCATAAGGCCGGAGTCTCATGCATCCATTTTCCGACGAAAGATGACCGAGAAACCTCTATTCTGACATATTTTTATACAATAAATGTCAGAATAAAAGGTTTTTCGGACATTTTCGTCGGAAAACAGATGCATGAGACTTTGGCTTAAGGCCCGTGTGGAACAAATTCTCCCTTTTCCCCATGCCAATTTTCCAGTTGTTGTGACGTAGGCAGCATCAGAGCTGGGCACGAGTAAAAAATAATATATTCGTACGACCTACGAGTACCCTTACTCAAAGAATATATTTGTAAGTATTTTACTCGTTAAGTAATGTTATAGAGGCGGTTCACGGTTACGGGAAGTAATCGTAAAAGTACGAGTAAAGAATACGAATACTTTTACAAGTTTAAATCTAAAAATACTTATGTAAAAGCTACCAATAGTTTTTTTATCTGTAACTAAAATACGTGTAAAAGTATTTAAGTACTTGGGCAACACCGGACAGCATGTTATTTCTCGCCTTGACGTAGGCTGTTTAAACAGCTGACGACTTAGTTATGACGTCAGAAATGGTACCACACCAATATGGCGGCGATTACCAAAAATAAGGCCGATAAGCAATCCTGGAAATCATTTGGAAATATTTCTAAACCTATTTTCCGAATTTGTAAACCAACATAATTTCAATACCTTATCATCCAAATGATTTCCAAACGATTGAGTACTATTATTTAAATATTCATCTGAAGTGATCTTAACTCTGCTAACTATACGTCGCTAACGTCAAGGCGAGAAACGACACGCTGGCTACTTCATCACTGGTACTTTGGCCTGGTAGTTGGTGGGGGGATTGAGATTTTTATTAATCAACCGATCGAAAACACAAACATTTATTGCTATTAACAATACTCAGAGAAATCCAATAAAAAATATTACAGAAACATAAATTTTTCTGTTAGATATTAAGTTTGTGAAAAATTATACCGTTATGAACTGTTAAAACCGAAATTATTGGTCCGAACCGAATCGAAATATTTCTCTTAGAACCGTAACGGAACCGATATTTGTCATGACGCTGTGGACCGGAATCGATTATAAATGGAACCGATATTTCATTTCGGTCGGTCCCTGCTCCTGAGCTGCTCTAGAGCGCCCCGGGCTGTTTATAGGCGTTCCAGTGCTCCAGTGCAACTATTAGTTTTTCCTCTCCCCTGTCCATTCCCAGCAATTTTATGGTTGCATCAAAAACACAGTTGTTTAGAGCACCAGAGTGTAAAGCTACGGGTGTGGGGCACCTTAAAATGTGTCATTGGAAAGCGGCTCATGTTAAACGTTAGGGTAGGTATTCATTTAAAGCATTTTGGCCAAATGAACCGAACGAGCCAAACCAGTGAGCCAAACGCGCACAAACTATAGGCGATTTTCAGCCTGGAATGATTATTTATCGGTAAATACCGTGGTTATTCTTTTGGTTGACAACTTTGACAGCCAAGTGTGACGTCATAGCCCCCCACCATTCAAGAATCATAACCCAAGGACAAGGAACTGACCGCTGAAATGATTTGGTTATAGCAGTGTAGGATTATGTTTATTATTCTTATTTGTTTTTTCGTTTCAACAATAATTTTTTGTTTAGGTACAAAAAATGGAGCTGAATCTCTCGTTAGTCTCGTTTATCGAACAGATTTTCTTTGGGGATGATCTAAACCTCGATCTAAACATGGTGAATTGCAGTGAGTGAGTGAATGTATACTTTCTTTCATTGTGCCAGGCTACAACGCAACTGCAAAATCACAAAACACCAATACAAATTCCAAAAATAATAACAATAACATCAAAAAGCTGTAACCAAAAGATTAACCCAAGTCCAAAGCTGGGTTATAATCGGTTATAAGTGGTAAATAGAGGTCGAGAACTATCGATAGTCTATCGATAGTTATCGATAGTTTGGACTATCGAAAATTATCGATGGTATTTCTTGTAATATCGATAGTTTCGATAGTTGCATGTTATGAAACTTATGGCCGTTTGCACCAACGATTTCAAGGGAGGTTTAACGATAATCAACGTTTAAAATGACATTTTTACATGTAAAAGTGTCACTTTAAACTTTGATTATCGTTAAACCTCGCTTAACATGGTCGGTGCAAACGGCCATTAGACAAGGAAAGAGAGAAGACGAATAACACGATATCGGAATGAAAACATAAAGAAAGAGACGAAATTTTTGTTGCTCCGGTTCCACCAATCGAAATCACCATACGGTCAGATGTCCAGTGTAAATTGGAAGTGGAATCCATCGATCATCGATCCAAAATAAAGGCGGCCAATATTAATATGCTAACATTTTTACATAAAAATGTGAATTTTTAATACAATTAGGTATAATCAAATAAGTTTAAAATTTAAAAATAAAGTTTTTTACAGTGAAAGAATTTATCTTCATGTCTATTTCAGCATTTTGAAACTATCGAAAACTATCGATAATTATCGATGGTTTCTTGCCGACTATCGATAAATATCGATGGCGCCTACTATCGATAGTTCTCGACCTCTAGTGGTAAATACCAAAAGCAAATCAGCTGATATGTGACGTCACAACTTCCCCTACTTTGGTTAAAACCGCGACGGCGGAAATGCATTGGTTATAACCAAATAATAATCATTCCAGGCTGAAAATCGCCTCGCGAACTAACCGTGCGTTCGGTATTATGATCTGAGTTCTCCCAGCATGAATTTATCGTTCGTTTATTAAAAAAGTGTGTTCGGTGCAGGCTCATTCGCGTTCGTTTATTAAAATTAAAAGGAGTAGGGATACAGCGTTAACCTGCTATGTGCGCTCGCTGGTCACGCTGCTCCTTTTCAGCACGCTCTGGTCGCTCTGCTCTTTGAGCAAAATAACGAACGCAAGGTTAATCTCTTTGAGCAACGGACATTTACCGACAGACCACCGATAAACCTTGGCCAAATTTTGAATTGTTGATTATGGCCTGAGTAAATAGTCCGTTCATAAAGTCTATAGAGTTTTTCGAGTGAATGATTTAAGATTTTGGACGGTGATTTGCTAAATTTTGAGGCCCACTAAAGGGCCTTGGGTTAATCGTTGATCGCTGGTCGCTCAAGTCGACCCCCTAATTTTGGCCAATCAATCAGTGTTCAAAATCTCGATTCAGGCGCTTGAAAAAGTCTATAGACTCTATGAACGGACTTTAGTGTGTATTATCTTTGGTGGCAGGCGTGCCAGGCAACCAAACTACGTCAAACTTTTAAATTATTGATATTTTAATCAAAATCAGAAAAAGATTTGAGAAGGCAAAAATCTCCGGATCTGGTTGTCGAATCCAGAGCTGCATTCGATTGATCAGAGGCGTATTTGTTTGGCATGATCTAAGCAGGTTTCCAGTATGCATATTGGCGCGCTCTCGAGCACCTCAGGAGCGCCACGCACTAGATTTGTACCGTTCCAGTATCATGACATTTCTTTGTCCGTACGAATAGCTCGGGAGCTCAACGCTCCTAGTAGCTCCGAGTTTCACACTCTCATACTGGAAAGCGGCTCTAATTGATCCAACTTGCCGCAAGTGATATGATCCGTGTTTGATTGAGAATCGTTCAGTATCCCCACTCCCCACTACCACTGTACTGATCCGAGAGCAGCTCTTTTAGTGATCCCATTCCCATTAATTTGGACTAATTTGGAGGTTCAGTTTGTTCATTCAGTGATTATGGCCTCATTTTTTATTATTTACATCCCTTAAACTCTTGGTATGAATAACTTTTGGAAAATTATTCACACCTAGGAGGAGCTCCGGGGCTTCACGCGCTTATTCCTTTTGAAAAGTGTTTGCTGCACCACGCATCTGTTCCCTGCAAATCGGGAGCTACTAAACACCGGAGCGAGTGTTTCAAACTCTTGAAAGGAATACAACTAATGCCAACTGTTTTATTGAACGAGTTCATATCAAATCTACTTGTGAAACTGATCGTATCAGTTCAGTATCCAACCAAACTGAACTGAACTCGTTTCCAAACAAATACGCCTCAGATTAGATGGATCTGGATTCTGGATCAATTTATGTGAACCAGACCGTGTTCGATTGTATTTGCATCAGTTTACCCCCAACAACAAAAAAAAATTCTTGATCTACTCTTTAGATCACAAGAAGAAATATTGTCGGTTCAGTCAGATCAAATATTAAAAAAAAAAAACAAGAGAGCTTTCTACACCAGTGAACTAACACCAAACGAACAACTGACAAGTCACAGTCGATAGGTTATCGAATTAAATCTAAAATCTACTGTTTCCGTTCGATCGATATGAACTTCCCATTGAAGCGTTTTTAGAAACTGTTGTTATTAGGGCGGGTATTATAAAACTACTTTGAAAGTTAACTTAAAGTTAACTTCTGAAAATACATGTAATTCAAAAAGTTAACTGCAAGTTAACTGTCAAAGCAGCCTCGGGTATTATAAAACTACTTTGAGAGTTAACTTAAAATTAACTTCTGGAATTACATGTAATTCAAAAAGTTAACTTCAAGTTAACTGTCAAAGCAGTTTTATAATACCCGCCCTTAGTCGCACACAACTCTCAGCGCCGGTTTCTCAATAGCGAGTCACCCCCAGGTTAAACATAACTCCGGGGTAAACAAATGGTAAGGAAGCATCAAAAGCAAAGGTGATATTCATGACGTCACAGATTTTACCTGGTGTGCCAAAAATCGTCCGATAGTTTGTGAACTCGGGCAATCATCAAAAACGATGTTTTTCATGTGTTAGGTTTCTTTAAAGTGGTGAGTCGAGTGACACCCGACTTTTGCAGTTTATGAAAGCGCTTGGGTCACCTAAAACCTAAAATCTGTTTTTTTTTTTAAAGATAAAAGTCAAAATGACATTAGAGAGTTATTGGACGTGCAATAAAGGACAAGCAGTATTTAAATTAGCCTTATTTTGACATCTACGCATGCGCATTTGGGTCTGAAAATAAGGATTTCCTTAATAAGGTTACTGCTTGTCTTTATTTGTGTATGGTTAGTGCGAGGCAGTAAACTTCCCTTATTTCAAATTTCTGACATTTTCGACGACTTTGACGTTTCGCTTTTCGACGGTGACTTAATTTTACTTGGAAAATTTATTTTTTACAGTAGTTTTCCATTTTACTGTGGGTAGCATCGAAAAATGAGTATCGGCAGAAAATCACAAACAAAATTAAACACTTTTTGAGGTTGAAATTTATAAACATAGCTATCAGCTGTCAAAATTATGAATACAAAATAAGGTAATACTCTAGCACCTACTACAGTCTTCCAATCAGAGCTGGGCAAAGCCCTCAGTAAAAGGGCTTGAAGCACTAAGCCCTAAGCCCTCTATCAAAGTGCTTCAATTTCAAGCACAAATTCCTTTTTATTTTCAAAAGTGCTTCACAAGCACAAAGCCCTCAAAGTGCTTTGGGCTTGACAAGCACAAAGCCCTCAAAGTGATTTGAAAAGTGCTTGAAGCACATCAAAAGTGCTTGGGGTGCCTTGAAAAGGGCTTCAAGCTCTTTAAATGTGCTTCAAGCTCTTTAAATGTGCTTGAAGCTCTTTAAATGTGCCTAAAGCACTTTGAATTTGTAATAAAATTCTCAAAGTGGCATAAGCTACCGCGTACACTCATCACACAGAATTGGTATAGTAGAGACGAACTTTACATTTCACAGAGTAGCAGTAGTATGTTTTTTTTTGAGATGTAGTTCTGGGGTACTTGGGGTACTACATGGTAATTCAATTTTAAGGTTTTGAAAATGTTCAATGGGGAAAAGTGGAAAAAATCCAGTGATAAAGTTAAATAGGTTACCAATATAAATTAATTATTTATTTGAATAATAAGTTCATTATTTTTTTTTTAAATTCCATTCTAAGCTCAAACCCAAAACCTCCATTGTTAAGAGAGAAAAGACATAAGACGGTTCAAGTTCAAATAATGGAAAAAAAAATTAAGGGACAAAACACGATCGAAAATTTTCAAGTGGGGGATAGGTTGAGTGATGGTCAATTCAAATTCCTTTCAAAGTGCTTCAAGCCCTTTTAAAGTGCTTCAAGCCCTTTTAAAGTGCTTCAAGCCCTTTCAAAGTGCTTCAAGCTCCCAAAAGTGCTTCAAGCCCTCTTAAAGTGCTTCAAGCCCTTTCAAAGGGCTTCAAGCTCCCAAAAGTGCTTCAAGCCCTCTAAAAGTAATTGAAGCTCATTGAAAGGGCTTGAATTACTTTTTTCAATTACAAATTACCAAGCACTTTTCTAAAGTAATTGACTTTGCAAGCCCCAATTACAAATCTATAAAAGGGCTTGAAGCACAGGGCTTTCAAGCCCTCAAAGGGCTTCAAGCACTTTCGCAAGCACAAAGCACTCAAGCCCTGCCCAGCTCTGCTTCCAATAACTGTTTTTTTCTTGGAAAAATAGTGCTGATGCACTAATAAAATAACGTAGATCCTTAATACTGCGAGGCAGTATTTATTAGTTCCAATAACTCTCTATTATGTTGGCAATACAATGTAAAATTGTCAATGCTTTCAAATTTTTTATGTAGAAAAGGCTTGTGCTGCCAAAACAAACTTTACAACGCTAGGAGCCGGTTTCTAAATAGCGAGTCACCCCCGGGTTGGTTTTAACTTCAGGGTTAACGTGTTAAATTGCAATGTTTACCCTAGAGTTAGCTTAACCTGGAGGTGACCTACTATTGAGAAACCGGCCCTAGATGTATTTTTATGAACGCGCTCCGGTTCAAAATCAAAACAAACAAAAACATTTCCTAACCTAACTTTTCAAAAAATCAATATTCTGTTGTTGCTTGTTTAAATAGTCATGAATTATATAAAATTGAAGCCAAATTTATCACTTTTCCTTGTTATCATATCAGTATTAGCTACGTACGCACAGGTAAGTCGCATCTGCAAACTTTTTTCAATTATAAATAAACCAAAAGTGACCAATTTTCCCCAGTTGGACCCAAGATTTGTTGAAAATGTAAAAAGGGGCAAGCACACCAACAATTGGGCTGTTCTAGTGGACACAAGCCGCTTCTGGTTTAACTACAGGCATGTCGCCAACGTTCTCTCTATCTATAGGAGTGTTAAGCGATTAGGAATCCCAGACAGTCAAATTATTTTGATGATTGCCGACGACATGGCTTGTAATCCCAGGAATCCTAGACCGGCTACTGTATTTAATAATGCCAATCAGCACATTAATGTTTATGGTGATGACGTTGAAGTTGACTATAGAGGCTATGAGGTTTTAGTCAAAAACTATTCCCTTTCATTTACTAACAAGAAAATTCGTAGGTCACAGTTGAAAATTTTGTTCGTCTCATAACAGGAAGACTTTTTCCTGGAACGCCGAGATCCAAACAATTATTAACTGATGCAGGAAGCAATGTTCTCATTTATTTAACAGGTCACGGAGGTGATGGCTTTTTAAAATTCCAAGATTCGGAGGAAATAACCAGTCAAGAAATGGCAGATGCGTTAGAGCAAATGTGGCAAAAACAACGTTACCATGAAGTGTTCTTTATGATTGATACATGTCAAGCAGCCTCGATGTATGAAAGATTCTATTCACCAAATATTTTAGCAGTTGGAAGCTCTATGGTTGGGGAAGATTCACTCTCGGTAAGAATTATTAATAATATTGTTTGTTTTTTTTTTTTATGTTTTTTTTTTCAGCATCATGTAGACCCAGCTATTGGGGTTTATATCATTGATAGATATACTTATTATGCATTGGAGTTTTTAGAGACTGTTAGTCCAGAAAGTAACCGGTCTATGGGTGAATTTGTGAGTAATTTTTGATCTAATAATTGAATAATTTTATTTCATTTGTACCTTTCTTCAGCTGAAAGTTTGTCCCAAAAGTGTCTGTATTTCAACTGTGGGTGTCCGTAAGGACTTATTTACAAGAGATCCTGACACAGTACCTGTAACAGACTTTTTTGGCTCAGTTAGACCTATAAAGCTGTTGGAAAAGGTTACAATGATGGATATATCAGAAATTGAACTACCAAAGGAAGTTGAAAAGGCCGTCGATAATGAACCAAAAAAGAGGTACTATTATACACGTCCATTGCCCGACTTTGACTTACTTGTAGCGGAAACTAAAAAATTGGAAACGGGAATTGATAAGGAAAGGGAAAAAGAATATGTCGGGTATTGGTATTAGATTAGAAGTATTTATAATTTTAAAAAACAAAAAATGTGATTTTACTGTGTATGTGTGTGCATTTGATATTGCCATTGCCAATTTCAATAAACCATTTTCTTATAACAATAAAGTTGGGGTTTTCAACTCTGCCATTTTTTTCTGCTCCATTTCAGATGTTTCTTTACTAGCTTTATGCAACTATGAACATTGATAAAATACATTGGTACATGCCTACCTTTTCAAAACAAACAATAATTATTATTATTTCTTTTCTTTCAAAATTTCTGATCAATTGGTATGTCAGGTGTTATTGAACTGGTGAGTAAACAATTCAGTTCATCTCAGTTCAAAAATTTACGAACTATGTGGCAGGTTTGTAGTACAACTGCCTTCTGCCCATATGAAACAATGTTCTCACTCAATCCTATGGTTTTCAGATTTTTCGTGGAGTTTTTAGAGACAATTCCCTCAGCCGAGATTATTAGCAGAACTGTTGTTACCCTCTGTAACTGCCAGATGTTTTTTATTTCCAATGCTAGATTTTCATATTTTCTAACTTTTTCTACCTCCACTTTTGCGGTCCGTTTTGACCGGACGATCCCAGTATAGTCTGGCAATAAATGGTAACTTGGTAGAGACGAAAGGGGGAAGAAAAGTGGGGCGTAACCTGAAAATATTCACTGACACCTCAACTGACTCCGCCTGATGACAGCCATGTCTTTGAGTTCAGTGCCACCGAAAACACCAAGGAAATAAACCAATAAACTTGTAAGAAAAAAAAAACTCTAGTTTCGCCGATAACCACGCCACTGCGTGCTTTTGTTCAGGCTCTAACCAATAGAATCATGCCTCTGAATAATCACACCTCTCCACATCCATCATTTCGAAATGTTGCCAGATTTTTTTCTATTTCAAAATATTACACATGCCCATATAGCTTTCCGTCAAGTCTGGCAAAGCAGCAAATTCTATTGCAGTTCGCCATTTGGCCTAGCCAGACAATAAAGTACAGGGTGTTTCAAATTCGAGCCACATCATTGGGATCTCGGAAACGGTGAGAGATACAGGATACAGTTGGTTAAATTGGGGCAAAGTTGCGTAATTTGATGCTTAACAAAATGCCGCTTTGATATTTAGGATATTCCAATTACTTCCGGAGATATCCGGAAAAAACCGAAATTTTGCAAAAATGTTTTTATTTTTTCCTGACTTTATTTGAAGTGATATTTCAGAAAAAATATCACTTCATGGTAGCCACTTTTTCTCCCCTACAGGAAGCTATCATGAAATTTAAAATCTGACATTTCGTCTTTCGGCCACCATCATCAACTTCATTTTTCTAAATAGGAACCCTTATTTTTTATTTTAGATTTTATAAGCTTCTGATGTGTCAAAACCAATGACGTATTGCACTTATTCGAAAAATTTATATTATTGGCACTTTCCATAAGAACCAAATGTGTTGGAGAGAGACAGAGAAGAGAATTTCGGTAGGAAATTACTAAAAAGTAAAAGAAATATTTGTTCGAAAAAATGCGATACGTCATGGTCATAGGTTTTGGGACATCAGAAGGTCTAAAAATCTGAAATAAAAAATCCAGAGTCGTATTTAAAAAAAAAAAGTTGATGATGGTGGCCCAAAGACGAAACGTCAGATTTTAAATTTCATGGTAGCATCTTGTAGGGGAGGGGACAAAAAGCGGCTATGACGAAGTGATATTTTTTTTGAAATATCACTTCAAATAAAGTCAGGAAAAAATAAAAACAATTTTGCAAAATTTTCATTTTTTCCGTAACCCTGTATCTCTCACCGTTTCCGAGATCCCAATGATGTGGCTCGGATTTGAAACACCCTGTACTGCTTTTTGCGTTTCCAGAACTGGCGATGGTTGGTACTTGTAGTATGGGGGCACGTCTGTAATAGACCATGATTTAGCGCAAGCTGTTGATGCACAATTTTAGCGAGTTGGTTATGGCGACCAAGATATGCGTTATCAGCGAGTGTTTGGCAGCCTGCCATAATATGTTATATGGTCTCCCCAGGCATATTGCATTTTCGGCATTTGTCCTCCACATTAAGTTTTAGGCAGTACTTCTCGTAGTTTTTGGTTCTAACGACTCTATCTTTCATGGCAGTAAGAAATCCCTTGGTCTCAGGGTAGAGTGGACCAGCATTCAGCCATTTCACCGAAACTGCAATGTCAATGTTTTCGGCCTCCAGGCTTCTGGGATATCTTCCGTGTAGTGCCTGTTCCGACCAAGCCATTTTTTTTTTGTTGCTTTGTTCTGATGTCGAACGCCAGCTGTTTATGTTGCATTTTCAGGGGAGTAAAGTTTTGGTCTTATTGTGCTGCTAGCTGCATGTATGTATCGCTGGGCTAGAGAAACTGATGCCTCATGTTTTACTCTTGCGCTCTACAGAGAGTATATACATTAGCTAAGCCTCTTCCTCCTTGCTTTCGTGGTAGATAAAAGCATTTCACAGAAGAATTTCTATGCAGACAGCGAAACTTTGTCATAATTCGTCGCGTTAACCGATCAAGTTCATTCAAGTCTGCACTCTGCAGCAGACCATTTAGGTATCCCAAAAGTGTATGTCAACACAGGAACCGCCCAAGAGTTGATATAGGGTCTTCAAAAAAAACCCAATCAAAGATTGCTTTGATTACGAAAACGTACGTCGCATTATTGTTTCTTTATTTCAGGTTTTTCCATGACAAGTTCCTTGACAAAATTAAAGAAAAATATTGCTAAGACATACGTTTAAAAAACCATAGCAATCTTTGTTTTTTTTTTTTGAAGTCCCGATAGCTGTGATCTGGTTTTTACCTGAAAGAGTGTTCATTATTTTTGTTATTCTGTGTCCATATTTTTCCACAAAGATTTTCTTTAACTGCTTTCTGCATCCGTTGCCAAGCCCTGAAAGACATATTGATATCGTCACTGAAGACTTCAACGGTGTCAATTAATTAGTTTTTTACTGTTTTCGCCGTAAAGTTTCAAATCGTCCATATATAAAAAATGTGACAATTTTCGGGGTCCTTTAGTATCCAGTTTGTATCCTATATCTATCCTTCGGAGAAGTGCGGACAACGGCTTCAGGGCAAGGCAAAACCACATTGGGGATAAAGAATCTCTTTGGAATATACTCCGGGAGATATTGCCTTGTTGTTATTTACAAAAATGTTTGTTCTCCAGTTACTCATTAAATGTTTGAGCACATTTATAACTTTAGGACACACTTTGTATGTTTCAAGGACTTTCACCAACCAGTCATGGGGTACCGCTTCGGCATAATCGAGGTAACACATGCTTAGGTTCCTCTTCTTAGTTTGAGCTTGTTTCAGCACTATTGCGTCTATGGTAAGTTGATACTTGGTGCCCATTATGCCTCGCACGCAGCCATTTTGTTCCTCCTCTAAAATATCATTGGCAGTGCAGTGGTCATGTATTTTGTTGTTAACGGTGGAAGTTTGTAAACTACTGACAAACAAGTTATTGGCCGCTAAGTCTTCGATGTGGTAGGATCGCCTTTTTTAAATAACATGTAAGTGTATCCTTCACTCAAAAATTCTGGGAATTTTTTGGGATCTAATAGAGCTTCTGTGAAACACGACGCTAGGCTTTTGTAGGTGGCCGGAAAATATTTTATCCAGAAGTTATGAAGTCTGTCCGGTCCCGATGATTTCCAATTACCACTTCTTCCGATTGCCATCGAAATGTCGTCATCGATGATCTGTTCATTATTATTATTATTATCATTATTTTTCTTATACTGTCTCGCATTTCTGCGGTTTTCGGAAACCATCAGCATTTCTGCAAAATGGCTACCGCTGCTGTTACGATATTTTTAAAAATTTACGGACTATACTGCAGATGCTTAATATTGCCGACCCGACTTTTGTATCTCGGAGTTGAGTTTGGCTGGCAGTCCCAAGACAGAGAGACTCCTGGAAAGAGACTTTGGAACAATTACTGTTGTCGAGATCACCACTGGAACGATAACGACCTTGACCTGTTGCCATTGTTCTCGAATTGCTTGTGCAAGGTCCGCATATTTCATAAGCTTTCCCGGTATGGTTTCTTGCAGATTGTTTGTATTGGGTACGGCCACATCGATCAAAAACGTTGTTTTTAAGACCTTTATTAACAAGGACAATATCTGGTATATTTGCTGGAATATGTCTGTCAGTGAGTATTGTTTTATCCCAATATAGTTTGAAATGTCCACTCTCCAATACTGCTTCGGGATCATACTGATAGTATGGCTTGTCACTGTCTGTCAGCTAGTAGAGTTTGGCGATGTTGAGATGGATAATTTTGGCAACGCAGTTATGCCGGTGGAGATATTCTGTTGATGATAGTGTTTTGCAGCCCGCGTTAATGTGTTGGATCGTTTCAGATGATTTATGACATTTCCTACATTTATCGTTTTCTATGGTTGGGTCTTTTATAATGTACTTTAGGTACTTAGTTCAAGGTAGTAATAACCTGGTCTTGAATAGCTATAAAGAATCCGTCCGTTTCCAGGAAGAGAATACCATAGGTGAGCCAAGCGTTGGATGCTCCTTGATCTACAATCTCGTTGGCCATGTCATAAATATGCTTCCCATGTAAAGTTTTTTGTCTCCACCTATCCACCAACACCGCAAAATTTTCTGCTTTTTTTTCTCAACTCGATTTTCAAGATTCACGATAGACAGATTCAGTGGTGTGTAATTTCTATTGGCAAGTAGGACTGCCCCGTGTAAATGGGAACTTTCAACTTTGGAAAGAAAATAATTTTGTAGTTTTGCGATCTGTTAGTTTAGTTTTAGGAATTTGAATTACTCGTTTTGTATAGGTGTCTTGCACCTGCGCTTTCATAAGTTTGTGCCTTGGAATATTCCTCTATTTATTTTAATTGTGCAAGTGGTGATTGACCCCGTTTGGTGGTTGAGTACCAATTTTGTCGACCATCTTGTCATCACACACTCCAACAGCTTAATTATCGCGGGTGAAACCTTGTAAAGCTGTAGTGAGATCCTGACAAGCCATGCATGCGGAACCGAGTCGAATGCCTTCCTATAGTCCACGTAAGCCGTGTAAAGGTTTTTTTTGTTTCTTCAGCTCTTGTTCAATGATCACTGTATCATTCAGCAGCTGTTCCTTACACTAGGGCTCGGAATTGTATTCGAATA